AAAAATGTAGTAACCCAATTAAAATTGGGTAAAAAGTTTATCTGGAGCTTTTTCAATCAGGGCATTTGATATTTTTCACATCTTACATTTTTGTATGAATGTTTGCATAAACAAAGGTCAAAGAACCAAAGAGTACCTTCTCTTTATATGGATATACTAGTCTTTTAATTTCTCTGCCGTTAATGAATACATTAGCTGAATCTTTATCCAAACAACCATATGTGATTTACAATGCAATTATCTGTTTTGAACAGGGTCAACAGAAACTAAGCTTTGACTTGATTTCAAAACAGAGTAAAAATTTATGATAAATCTGGACTGTCATATTAGTTCATCTTTCAATGAAATGTTGAACGAATCCAGGGGGAAAGCTGTACCCCATTATGGAGGGTAGTGCATCTCACGGGTAAATGTGGCCAGCAAGCAAATAGGAAGAGATTTTGATGCTTACCCGTCGAATATTGCATTAAATGCTGAAATGCTGGGAATACATTGATAAAATACCACTTGATTTAAGAAAAATGAACTTTAGGAAATCTCAATATTAAACCAATCACATTTATTTTCAGAACTTGCATGCCAAGGGCACTCAGTTTGGAATCCTAAATAAATCCTGGAGTGGTTAAAATCCAAGTGTCTCTGTGTACCACCAACTTCTTAATGCCCATCAAAGACTTGTTTCAAGATGGTCTTAAAATTCCTCGGTATTTTTATAAAAGTAAGATATTTATGTCTGATCTAATTATGTGGTTTAAAAGTTAAATAATTTTACAAAATAACCCTGTCTGGTGTGGTCCTCGCCTTTGTATTCCTCCATCACAAGTATCCCCAGCAATAAATTGATTTTTGACAAATGCACGCTCAGCGCAGCAGCCTTAAGTTAAAATGGTCCATTGTATGACTAAGACATGACACCGGTTACCATGGCAACCTGACTCAGCACTGGAGGGATAAATTACAAGCTAGGATTATGTCATGATAGTGGAAGGAGAGAGAGAGAGAGGCAATGTTTCTCTTTGATTTGGTGGGTACTCAGAATTCATGTTGTGTGCAGTAATATTTATTGTTTAAAAAATAAATTTTGTTCTTTTCAAGAAAGACTTGGCTTTTTAGATAAATGCAGAAATAACAGATTTAGGGGAAACCATTGTCTGTTGAAGTTTCAGCATTGACAGTTCATTTCCTCGTTCAAAACCATAACAAGAGCATTATGTCACATCATTGTATTTATGTTAGTAAATAACCAGGAGAACAGGTGGAATATTTTGTAGTCATGATTAATTAATTACTAATTAGATATACTGTCAGTCCCGGATGGTGGAAAGGGAATTCCTTGTTTTTAACCTATGTTGACCGTGTGTTATGGCTTACTTTTGGGTTGAAGATTTTACACTAACTGTAATTGTAGACAGAAATGTAGAAGCAATAATGCTGTGTACATTGCTGTTAAAAAAATATTATTGTAACTAATTTCAGTGAATGACTTGTACTTGAATGATTGGGTGAATGTTATTAAAGAAAGGTTAGAGGTTAATTTATTTATTTTTACTTTTTTATCTAGAATTGTGAAGAATATCAAATGAAGGAATATTCTAGACTAAACTGTTTCCTATTTTGCATTCATGGATTTTGCTACCAAAACATGTGCTATATTTATTTTTATGATCAGGATGCGAGTGGCCCTATTATTATTCAAGTATTACAAAAGGAAAACTGGTTGATAAATCATGTTTTTCTTTTGCTTAATTAGTCAAAGGTTCATGCATTATAAGTGGCAATATGTGATGCGAGTCCCATATGCAATCTCGGCCAAAGCAAGTCTATTGATCTTACATCAGTAGATTTTGATGTGAATGTTCAGGCTATTTTTGAAGGAATTTATCTACACGTTTCTAGTGGCTGATATTCAGTCCCAGGCCCAAAGCAAATCCCAATTTGAAGTTAACAGCCAAGCCAAAGAACAAGCCAAACCAGGCCAAGCCGTAGCCACGTGAAAATAGAATATAAGTTTGTGAACCATATCCATATCATTTATTTATTAAATGTATCACATTTCACAATGTCTGAAATATGTATTTCTTTTCAATTTATCATTTTATCGCTAGATTAAAAAAATATTCACTATTTCCTGCAATGTTGTTGAAAATATAATTCTTGACACACACTTTGACAACATCGAACATGTCAAAGAGCAAAATAAAGACGTTTCAAGCAAATCTTTAAATATGTTAATGTAATAAATAAAACCAACAAAAATATATCTAAAAGTTGTCAAACTTACATATAGGTTATTGTTTCCATTTTTTCGTGCAATCATGTGTAATTGTACTTTATATTACTGTCTGTAAAGCGACGCCTGTGTACAACCCTTCAAAATCTATGCTAATTTATATACCCTGTCTATAAAGCAAATAGGAATGAAGCACGTCAACAGTGTAAAACACAATCCCAATAAAATGTGTATGCCTTCAGCAGATTCAGGGAAACGAACAACGGTCAAGACAAATTTGAAATTTGAGATAAAAATCCACTTGACATGATGATTCAGTGATAAAAATTTTATTCCCTGTTCTGATAGGCATTGTTTTCTATGCAGAGATTAAGATTATCGTCTGTATTTGCTTGTATACTAAGCTGTAAGTAGCAATCAGCTGTGCACACGTTTATTTGAATCTACTGGTGATTCGGTTAAAAATTACCCAAGAATATAACTATAAAGAATTGTATCTGAAACTGTAATTGTATCAGGAATAATTTATTCCAATATCATGTTATTTCAGTTTAGGAGTTTATTTGAAATACTATAATAAGCAAAGCACGTTGGTACAGCTGATCGCTGTTGCCCTATATTTTGTCGTATAGAACAATTTGACCAATTACCGTTAACGCTCGCAATAGCGAAAACTTTTTTGACATATCATAGTCAAACTACAATAAATATGACTTTCAGCGAGTCAATGTATGGCATATATGATATGTATATCCATTCTCTATCCACTAAAGTTCATTTCAAGGCGTCAATAGCGGTAATATGACCATGGTTGCTGTAAATAACGGTGAGTTGTGCGATGTTCCAAGCACTTCACGTACAATTTCGCCAGAATGAAAAGACACAATATTGAATGAAGTTTTAAATAAAATTAATAAGATAGATTACAAACATCAGTCCAGATATATAATGAACTCTTTTTATGACCAGACAGTGTAATTACATGATTAGTTTGCATACTTTAGTATGGATTTTTGGACGTGGTATTTGCAGTGTTACATGCTCACAGTAATGCCTGTGTTGGGGAAAAACATCAAAACTCTTCAACTCTGTGTATAAGACGACCCCCCTTGAAAGCCCCCTAATTCTAGGTAAGAAAAACTCATTTAAATAATGTGATAAACATAACTTTCATATGTATAAACATTTGGATTAGACCTTTCAAATGGTGTACGACATGTAATACAGTCATGCCCCGCTTATACAGACTTCAGATATCCGGAAACCTCGGTTCCCGGATGATTTTCATTCAAAACGAAATAATTACTATTTAAATTTACCCGTATGTACGGAAATTCAGTTTCCGGAACCGGATGGTCATTTTCATACACAAAACACTGAAATGCACACAAAATTGTCTCACTTACCCGGACAATACACTTCCGCTGGTGGTAATCCTTAGATTCGTGAGAAGTCAATTAACCAAGTGGCACTGAGTTACGTTTTAGACGAGCTTGCTTATTGTACATGTAATCCCATAATTGCATAATTGAAGGGAAGTAACTCTTCCAGTAAGAAGCTGGTTTCAGTTATATGGAAATTCGTTTATACGGACGAATTGTGAAATGACACAAGTGTCCGTATAAACGAGGCACGACTGTAGCAAAGATGTTTTTCAAGCAGATAAATTCCTTGATAAATGTAGGCTTCACCTATCACGCAAGCAGCGTTAGAAACTAACATTTTCAGTCCAGTAGTCCTTATTATAACATAACAAAACCCTTAAAAGGGCAAATTCTACTAGTCCTTATGATTATGATACCTTAACTCTTGGGCAGTTTGGCTACAGGACGGCTGCTAACAAGAGGCTCAGAGAACTCGGTCTCACAGCAGTAAAAGCTTCTGGTTGACTGGTGTTGAAAGAGTTATTAATATCCAAGTTCAGGCAAAGATGATTGTATCTATTGTGTAATGACAGGACAATAACAAGGTGTTATGTACATTGAAAACATGAAAACAAGAACTGTAAAAAACAAAACAAATACAACAACAGCTTGGTTCTGCACAGGCGATTAAATGTAGATATTTTAGTTTAAGTTTTGATAACTTGGTGATGAGTAAAATATTTGTCAATATATTTGTTTTCATGGCCGCAAGTTGCCGTGCTTATGTGCTTTCATGTCAATGCAACCTTGAAAATCTGAGGCTGAATAGGTCTACAGCAACCCATGCTAGCCGTAAAAGGCAGCTGTGATTGTAACTAGCAAGATCGCTGACTTGGTTGATGCATGTCATCGTATCCCTATTGCGTAGATCGATGTTCATGATGTCCATCACTGGATTGTCTGGTCCAAACTAATTTACAGACTGCCATCATATAGCTGGAATATTGCTGAGTGCAGCATTAAACAACGAACAAACATCATATGTCATAATCTATTGTATAGCAATCTTTTTCACTTCGAAGGAATGAAGTATTTCATGGTAGAAAACTTGTTAATATAGACACCTTTCAATAAATGTAACTTTTATGAGTTTGGCCCATTAAATTAAATTAATTCCAATTGAAATGTATGTCCATCTTTGTGTGAAACATTTATGGACAACTTCTTTTTGATATTGTTTGTGATGTTTGTGCTATATCCTGATAATGTGGCAACAAGTAGTCATGAAATGTTGCTTAAAGCATTCAGGCAATTGTCTAACAGTTCAATTTTGTTATGTGTTAAATATTTAGACAGTATCCATGAATATTTGGCCTGTATGTCTGATGTGAAATGTTGTTTTTCAGATCAATCCTTCAAAAAAGATATGGGAGGTTGGCGAGGAGGGACACAAGGGAGGGGATGGGGGCAAGAGTGGCATCTTCACAGGACACCACCCCTGGACGACGCGGGATGACACATGGAGTGGGCCAGGTCTGTACACCAGGGGCTTGCTTCCTCACACATTGTTCGACACTAGGGTCTCTATAGGTCAATGCTTGTCGTAAAAGGGGACTAACGGGATTGGGTGGTCAGGCTTGCTGACTTGGTTGATGCATGTTATCTATCCCAATTGCGTGGATCGATGCTCATGCTATCAATCACTGGATTGTCTGGTCCAGACTCGATTATTTATACAGACCGCTGTCGTATAGCTGAAATATTGCTGAGTGCGGCGTAAAACAACAAACCAACCAACCAAATCCTAAGGCCCAACCCACATTAAGCACCTGTAATGTCCTGTGTTCTACAGTTCTCCCTGAATTCCAATGAACTGGAAATGTGTAGTCTCCGACTTTATCCACAACTCTGAAGCCCCAGTCTAGTATAAAATAAAATGGTCTTGTTTAAAACGGCTTCTACTAGTCGATATACTAAGACTAAAATCTTCTGAAAATGGGCTAGAAGACTAAATAATGTTTGGCTCAGACTAAGAGTGAGGTAGCTGTGCATGTTTATCTGTATTTGTCATGGGCACAAGTGACCACTAAGAACCAACAAACTTGGTAATAAAATATGTCAGCCTTCTGGGTTAATTTACAGAAGATATTTAAGAATGTAACTTTACATGAACGTTGTCCATATGTTCGAAGTCTGAATTCAGAAGTAATAAATGGAATATCTACTAGACAATCAGATATAGTATAACAGTTTTGAAATATTCCTTTTGAACTTTCACTAGGGCTGTCATCGATTGGAAAGTTCAATGTCCGTATAAGGGCTGAGAAGTAGCATGATATATTGATTAATAACAAAATTAGTTATTCTGTGTATTCATAGTAATAGATTAAAAAATCCTATCTCAACCTGCAAATACTGTCTGTTGACATTGATCTAATGTTCTTGGTCAGACCCTTTGGTTGCTGGGATTTCCTGGTCAGGGTTCAAATCTCTGACCGTGCCAGATTGTCATCTTTGGTTTCTCCATACCATAACAATGCTTGTAGATTTCATGAAGTGGTTAGAGTCTTCAACCCTCATCACTAAGTTACTTCCTACATTAAGATGATCAGCTGTTGCATGAAATTCTGTTCATGGTGAGATTTAGCACGAGTCGGATGCTCTCAAAACCAATTTCTGATTTCAGAAACCAGTGCTCTCGGTGTGAATATGGTCGAGTATGTCCTTGGCGGCTCGCCTACCGGAAAGGACATGGAAGGACGAATGAGAATGAAAGGGACTTTCGTAAGTCGTTTTCAGAATACAGTAAGTGTCGAAACTAAAACTACATTGTGTATTGCAAAGCTTTGAGTTGCTTTCCGCTGGTTTCATTATGTTGATCGTCAGTTCATGGTATGAGGGCTGCTGACAATATGTACCAAGTGTTTGTTTTTACTGGACTGATCCAAAGTTTCATTGGGGTTTACCTTATGGAGTGTCTTGTCAGGAAGACGAAGGATGACAGTTCTAATTTTCTAATATTTTTTTGGGAATTCATTGCATTTATATAACATTGCCACGAATAGCTGTAATATCGCTGATGTGGGATAATGCAATATTTCTTCATTCATTTATTCATTGATGTAACAGGAATTTTGCTTCAGGAACTGATTAAGTTGGGTTAATGTATTTTTTTCTCTTAACCTTTGTAATGTCCTAATTTCCATTTGCTGCTTTGCACAATTAGCTTTGTCATGCATATGTATATATTGTTCACCATTGTTTTCATTATTATTTTAACCATTCTCATACATGATAAATTGTTTGAGCTCCAGTAGGTTCATACGGAAATCCAATGAATACTTTTCAGTTTTCGAAATTAAGCATGAAAGTCAAGGGGGTCTTTGTCATTACCCTACATTGTAACAAGTCGCCATTGGCGATCTCAACGACCCAGGGACCCCCTTAATTTCGAAAACTGTTTTTACTATTGCTTACTGGCATTCTACTTTAGTAGAAATTAGGGCTGCAATGAATACACTATGAGGCGAATATGATTCGTATCACGAATAAAGGGTAACGAATACGAATATTAATTCACAAATACAATAACAAGTCAGCAGCTGAAGTATTATTTGTTATATTCAGTGAAACATTAAGAACATAAATTATTTGACATGGTTTGTTAATTATAAATAAATTATACATTTAGATACTGCACTTATCCAGGTACTAGTATCTGTTCAAATGCAACAATGACCAGTGACCACAATACTGTCGAATTAAATATTGTAAGAGTGTTGTCTTTAAAGAAATCTATGCATATAACATGTTCTTATAGATATTTTTAGGTACAGGGTATGTAAATGGACATGCTTGCATATTCATAAATATTCGATTCTATTTGCCACGAATAACTAATTCAATTCATGAATGGATACGGTTCGATTCACCGAATACATGAGTGAATCGTAACAGCCCTAGTAATATTATATTGATAAAAGCCAATTGCTTCAAAACCGTAGGTGCTCAAAGTAGTTATTACCAACATGTACTTATTTAGGAATAAGAGGGTTTCAATCTAATGTAGACGGCCCATTTCTTGTGTCTCCGCCGTGATATTGCTGGAAAATTGCTAAAAGCGGCGTAAAACCATACACACTAACTCTAATGTAGACGGGATAGATTTGATAAAGGAATATTAACTGAGTTATTTTTCATCTCTTCAGCCTGTAGCGGCCCAGGACCCAAGTATAGTGGAAGCATCCACTGAAAAGAAAAGCAAGACACCATCGCCATTTGAGGACGACGGCGGTGACCGCGGAGAGGAGAATAAAGACATGCAGCAGAATGGTATCCTGCAGAATGGACTGGACGATGGTCAAGGGTTCAGGTAAGAGAGGCACACAGGTTGTTTTTTTAACCTTTCTTTTATGACTCCTGAGCAAAACAGTGACTATTTTTAATATTTGCTTTCCAGATTCAACCAATAAGAACTGGAAAATTTATGTTCAATAAAGTAAACAAAAGTTATAAGTTACAATAAAGTAATAAAGAACTGCACTACACGTTTATTTAACCTACTCAATCTGATTGGTTAGGAGAAAATATGTAAACCATAACATAAGAATAGGTAAAAAAAAAAGTACTAGAATCTGTACTTGACTAAGAAAGTGTTATCCCAAATATAACATGTTACTATAAGGGTAACGCTATTTTTCAGGGCATTATCATTTGCAGAAGCCCGAGGTCTTCCATCAACTGCCCTCCTTTGTCGGACTGAGGGCTTCTGCAAATGATAATGCCCTGAAAAAGATTGTTACTGTTATTATAGCTAAAATGGATGGAATTTGCTATCAAATAAAAAGAAAAAAAATATCTGTTTTGAAACATTTACTGCAATAAACACGAATGTTACTGACCCACTTTTACAAATATGGAAACGTCATAGAACAAACCTAGATGTCCCTATTGAACGTGACGTCACCTATTCCTACCCTATGACGTCACCTATTCCTACCCTATGACGTCACATAACAACGGGCGTGATAATGGCCTGTCGTCAAGCAATATGAGGGCATTATCAAGTTACAGTGGCCCGCTCATTTCTGATAACATGCGGGCGGTTTAATTATAATCCTATCCATTTTAGCTATAAATAACAATAGTGTGGCCCAAGAGTAGCCTGTGCACTTACAGGCATATCCAGTGTCAAATGTTTGAATCATGAGCCCTGATGTGTGTATAACCTACCACATCGCTGTATACACAAGGGTGTTGAAATGTTTGTATGTAATTTATGTCAAGGAAATATGACTAATATATTCCATATCCATGAATGTGTTTCATCCTATAAACCGAAGCATTTGCTGAAGCAACTATTGAATAAATATTGAAATAATATTGAAATATCCTTTTATCAGTGAATTGATCAGAATGGTTCAAGACAAACCAGGACATTTCACCTTCTGTTACCGATACTTTCATGTTGAGCATGTTTAGAATTGGTCTTCAGCAACCCATGCTTGTCATAAGAGGCGACTAGCGGGATTGGGTGGTCAGGCTCACTGACTTGGTTGATGCGTGTCATCGTATCCCAATTGGTAAATCAATGCTCATGATGTCAACAACTGGATTGTCTGGTCCAGACTCAATTATTTACAGACTGCCAATATCAAATACCTGGAATATTGCTGAGTGCTGCATTAAAAAACCCATCTCGAGCATCAAACCATTTCATTTAAAAGTAAACTTGTTTGGATGACTGATGTTTTCCCTCTCCCACAGAGGAGGGAGCAGACAAACCTCCCCTACAGGTGATGAAGGCAAGGTCCCTCCCCCCCAGCTCCAGCTGGACCCCAGTAAGATGCAGCTGAAGCCAGATGGGGACTTCCTGGACCAGCAGCCGTCCTTGGTTGTGCACCAGCAAGGCTTTCAGCTGGACACCCCCCAGTTTGAACCTGTGGGCATCGATCCTGGGCAGTTTGACTACAGCAGTCAGCTCATGCCTTCCATGGATAGTCCAAATTTCAACATGGATTACAACCAGGTACGTCATCCACCAATCCTTGTGTAGCGTTAAGGTTGAGGCATGTTCATTCAACTTAAGAGTTTCGTCCCTTATTTCTTATTGCATGGGTTTGAATCGTGTGAAATGACTAATACTGTTCAGAACACCATTAATCTGAACTAAGTTAGTCATGTGAGAGATTTGTAGATTTCCCAAACACAAGTTTATATAATGATATTATTATATGTTACATGTCATATATATCATATATTTGATATGTATGATATATATCATTTTATATAAAAATTCATGCTTTATGAAAAAATAACATCCCATGCAGGTGGGCCTGTGATTTTTGTTTCTGGCAAATGAATTTATTTTTGGAAAAGGATATTGTTTGATTTCTTTGATTTGATTTAGCTTCTGCAGCGTCAGCAACAACAGCAGCAGCCCATTGCTGTACTGACCCAACAGCAGTATGCATTGGCAACACAGCAACAGCAACTGGGTATGTACTTCAATGTTGTGGAACTTTAGTTGTCCAATCTTTCTGTGTGTGCATGCTCCTGACTGACGACAGACTGGGAGTCAATTTCATTGGTTAAGGTTATTGTCACCTTTGGCACAGCAACTAATAGCAAAGAGGCCTTTGTATATATTGTGTAGGTCTTTTAAGTAATGCTCAGAATCTTAATTTTATAATTTGGCAATGAATATCCTTGTTTTTAATTGAGCATGAAAGTAAAGGGGTCCTTACCATGACCCCACTATTAAGGATTCAGATACTTCAGCAGCTCACCTTAAGGATCAGAGGAAACCCTTAGTATTGAATACTGTGTATTGAACCAATTAAACAGTTAACCAATTCATTCAGGACTTGGGCAATATAAGCTTTGACTGCAAAATGTAACAGTCCAATAAATTTCAATTGACTTGCACTTTCCTTACAAAGGGTTTGAAGTCACTCTTGTTGCACTCACTTATGGAGGAATCGCTTGCCTGTCACAAAAGACCTCACATATGAGGTCTTTAGCAAAAACATTTTTCTTAACTTAATTGTGAACATTTCTTCCTGCATATCACAGACAATTTGATTTATTTACGAGGAAGGGAATATTAAGTGTTCCATTTTCCCTCTTCACAATGTTTGAGTGATGCAAACAACGGCTTGCATATGGGTCGTCAACAGTACACACTGGGGGGTCAAGAGTGGTCGGCAGGCTGCGTTGTGTGGCATCTCCTGACCCTTGAGTCTATTCTCTGACTTGAAATCTACAGTATACCTGTTCCGTTGCCCGTGAAGATCCGTCCGGTAGAATAGGTCTTCAGCAACCCATGCTTGTCGTAAGAGACGACTAACGGGATTGGGTGGTCAGGCTCGCTGACTTGGTTGATGCCCATGATGTCAATCACTGGATTGTCTGGTCCAACCAACCAACCAACCAACCAACCAACCAACCAACCAATGCAAATTGTAGGCAAATAATGCTCACAGGGAATTCATCAGGTATACCATGAAATATCAAAATTCATCTTCATTTGCTACCCAAAATGATGCACAAGCTGAAAGCAGAAAAACTACAGCTCAGTGATAAATACTTACTTTGGTATCTGTTATTCAAACATAGTGTATAAATTGTTGTATTATGAAATAGTTTGCAAGTTTAAAGATTTGTGGTCTTTTTCCATGCTGTGGCCCATATGTATCTGTTATCTCGGTATTGATGTGTTCCAGATAGAGTAACTCATGAATGTTGAATTGATTTGGAAGTACTGATATTTTAGTTTCTTGTTGCCGTTTTCCTGTAATTTCTTGATGTTCATGTTGTGACTATTAACATCTTGAAGTTTTAAGTTTGAATGATATTTTGTATCTGTTCCATCATCCTTTGTATGTAACTATGTTGCATTGGCACTAACTTCAGTCCAAGATAATGTTGAAATGCCACCTCTCTAGCTTGGTATGTATCATGGGATCCAAACTTTCACATTGAACTGAGCCGCCTTCTTGTTCAATCTTGGCTAGAAAAGGGGTGACACCTTCAGGCAAATAATTCCGTAGAAATTGTTTGTTCGTATAATCAGGATTTTTGGATGATTATAACTTTAGAAAATTAAATTGATGTAAATTCCATTGTTTAAATAAAAGATGTGAACTAAAGAATTGTTTGAGTTTTGCAAAGTACCAAGCTAGAAAAGTTACATGTTTTGTGCTTGTTAACCCATAGGTACTCAATATCGGTAAAAAAATAAGCAATTTCTAACTAACTGTTGTAAATCCTATTTCGTTCATAATTGGTGTGAAATAATTCCGATTTTAATGAACTGCACATTTTGGCACTGGTTGGTCTGAGAATTGATGGGTAAACAAGCATGGTAATTGATTCTTTGAGTGTTTGGAAGTTGTGGCCAATCAAATGCATGGAGTACACAAAATGTGTGCTGTGCATACAGCCAGGGCATGGTAGGACAAACACATTGGTTGTGCATGGCTTATAGTGTGTGCTTCGCTCTTCGTGTAGGCTTGGCCCCTACTGCAATTGCTCCACCCCCCTACGTTCTGAGCGCGCAGGATCCGTATACTGTGGGGATCCCAATTGCAGGTTAGCATCTACGTACTTCTCTTTTTGAGGCTTCCTAGGGTGGCACAGGAGTTCCTCTGCTTCAATTATGTTTAATTCACTTTTGGATGAACTCGGTCCCTCTCTTACAACCCTCACAATTCTGAGCACATCCTTCGGAGCCTTACTGGGTAGTAAGAGCAAGCAGACACTGGTGTTATCTTGATTTATTTTTCATTATCTGTGTATTTTGTTAACTTTCCAATTTTCTTATTAAGTTTTATTTGGTCTGAATTTTTGTGACATTATTTTAGCATTTTGCTTGATTTATAAAAATCTCTGCTGAATTTGTCTTTTCTGAATTTGTTATTTATCTATTTTGGTTCTGCTTGTAAAAGTTTGCATGCATTGTGTATGGTCTGTGCACCAGTCTGTGCCTTACTATCATGTCACTGTTGTAGGCCCGACAGTAATTCACCCTCAGTATTATGGGGTACAAACACCATGGGGTATATACCCTGCCAACCTCATACAGCAGCCACAAGGGCAGCAGACCCCCCAGGGCATGCAGCAACAACAGACGCAGATGATGCCACGGCAGAGCAATGGGAGGCCGCTCACGCCGTCCCAACAGAATGATGGCATGGGAACGCCTCAGACACTTCAAGCACAACCACTTCAGGCTCCAAGTAACTATTTATTTTTGTCTGTCATGAGAGTGAATGAGGGAGTAATCTATGAATTCTACAGCATATGTTGATAAAAATTTGTCAATTTGAATAAATGTTTCCGAAAGTTTCAAGTTTATAAAGTAAAAATAACTCTGAAAATAGGACCAATAAAATTGGTATGAAACTTAGTTTCACTTTTAGAACGTTCCACTTTGGGACAAATGTATTTTCTCAAATTGTCCTGCCATGGAAACTTGAGTTGTTGTTTTTTGTTTTATACATTTTACTTCACCTTTTCCCTGTTACATGAGGAGGATGGCCATCCAGGGCAATGGTCACCCTCACATTCTGAAGACAATGTATGTATACATTTGGGGAAAATTAAATACAAGTATTGGAAATGGTGCCAAGGTGATTTTTAAGAAATATAACAAAACATACACACAGTCAAGCATTCAAAATATTATTCAAACACTGATCCTGGCAAGAAACAAATATGAGAAAGAGATACATATGTTATTGCTGTTCTGCTTCTTCAAACAATATGTGATAAAAGATCCATGATTTATAAAATGTTGCTACATTACCATTTGTAAAGGCTTTATTCTTCTCAATTTTGTATCTCAGACAAACATCTTTGTCATCAAAAACTTTGCCAGTAACAATATTTTCTTTAACACAAAACTTGAGTTGTTGATAACCCCTTTGAATCGGCATTATTGTCAAAATCTTTCACAGGATTAATCTGATCTGGTATAGTAGACCCGGTCACTGAAAGCAATCAAGTTCAGTAGCCTTTAGATACATTCAGTTTATGCAGTTATCCTGATGTAGTGAAATGTAGACACCACTCATGATTACATTTCAGAGCTTATCAAACAATGCTGTAAAGGTCTCTATCCATCTTCCTTCCTCTTTCTCTTTCCCTCCCTTCCTCCTCCCACAAAAAATACAAAACAGCTCCAAACCCCACCAACACCTCCCAAACATAACATGCAGATATCAGGCATAAAAATTTGCCTCAGATTCCTGGAATACCAGGATTTTGCCTCAGAATGATGTAAAATGTACTTATTTTAATCCCTAGATTGGCGATATTCCTCCAAAAACAAGTTTTGCTGTTCTCATGTCTGAGATATTTTATTTCAGATTGAAACGGTGATAATGTTGCTCTAGTGTATCAATATTCAGTGTAGTAGCAGATATGACTGTTGCAGATGCTGGCTACCAAATCCTTGCACCTGCTTATTATGATCAAAATGGACAGTTAGTGATGGGTAATCCTCGTGGCATTGGCACGCCAGTCCGCCTCGTTTCTCCAGCTCCAGTTCTTGTCAGTGCTAATGCCAATCAACAAGGTAAGTCCCGAGCTGAGTTATTCTTAGTTGATGTCATCACTCGCTGACTTGGTTGATGCCTGTCATAGAGCCCAATTGCGTGGATCAATGCTCATGATGTCAATCACTGGATTGTCTGGTCCAGACTCGATTATTTACAGACCGCCGTCACATAGCTGGAATATTGCGGAGTGCAAGAGACATGCCCTGTGACATCAACCTTGCATATCTAGATTACTGTCATTCATACATATAAGCTCTGTGATTGGACAAATAGAGTAATGAATATTTTTCAAACATTTTTGACTCCAAATAATAGCATCATAACTGGTTATGGGTCTGCTTATAGCACACAGAACCAAAAAAAATAAGGGATAATAAATATTTTGTTGGATATGTTTTTGCTGTGAAGACCGAGGACACAATTTCATAAAAGAATCCCAAAAAATATTCCTGATCCCTAACTTTGTTCAGTATATTAATCCCTGGTTTGCCTCGGCCCAGACTTGATTATTTACAGGCTATCATGACTTGGGTTAAATGGGAACAACTGATTTGTCATCATGTCGTGAATATCTTTCTTGTTCTGCAAGGTGGGAACAGCTCCATGGGCAACAACACGCTGCGGCTTCTGACAACTCAGCCTCAGCAAGTTCAGACCCCGCCAGTCGTCTTGTCTAGTAGCAACAGCAACTCCCAGCAACAGAGTAGCTCTTTAGGTACGTGCTTGTCCACTTGTCTGCATCAGGAACATCGTGCTGTTGATACTTGCAGGGGACCGGTACATTGATGCATCGCCATTTAAAGATTTACAGAATATGAGACTCTTTACAACTCTCACAAATGGTTTTCATCCTCATTCAATCCTCATTTCATCATTAAAGTACTCTCAGCACCATTTTTAGGATTCATTCGACTTTTGTGTTGCTGTCAAGTTTCTATGAGACATTCAGAATAAACATTCATCTTCATTTCATATACGTTCATAGTTCCATGGTCCCTTATAAGTATTAACATCTGTGTCATCTACTAAACTATTAGGAACAATGTGCTAGGTTGTAGTGTTACTTACTTGGTATATGACTGACCTGCTTGATGACTGAGTGCATGTAAGTATGTAGTAACCAACAGGGAATGGAACATTTATACAGGTAGTAGCTTGTAGGTCCTTCTCCTTAGAAGAAGGGACATTTTCAAATGCTAGAGCTCTAATTTTGAAGAAAGTGCTGTGATTTATCATCCCAAACTGGCTTCCACAGGATATATTGCTTGGTGAAATCAGCTGCAAATGTGATATTGCTGCAATGAAATTGCATCACTACTTTGCAGACCATTGTGATGTCATTACCATGACATCACAATCAAATGACATCACTAATCTCTCTCATTGAAGCTGTCTAGCTGTCCTTTTTACACAAGAAAATGGTTATTACTTTTTGCTAACAGAAATAGTTGGAAGTATGATTTTGGATGATAAATAGAATCTCGCCCTTTTCTTTTCAGATCAAATATAGCAACACTCATTGATAAAATTGTAACTCAGCAAGCCTCATGAGTTTTAAACTTTTATTGACTTGTGTTTATATATCTGATATCAAAAGACAATCGGGTGAGATTCATACTTACTTGTGAGCCTGTTCCATTTGAGGAGTGAGTGAAATCCAACACGTTTACTCTTGTGCTGAAATACATATGTAGCAGACCAATACTATGCTCAGAATGCTGTTTACATTTGAACCGTTGACTTTGAGTTTCTAGTTACTGCACTATTGAAAAGTTTTAATTGCACCAATTTTGACATAACTTATTCTGCACTTGTTTTGAGGCAACAGATCACTTTCTGCACTTTGATGAACACTGTTAAATGATCACATGAACTCTTCATATCTGCTATCATGTCGCTGTTGTACTGAGGGTTAGATACTGGAACATTGGTGCATCCAGGTTGTCGTGGGGCAGTCAGATCAGGTGTACAGCGTTTTCAGCTGGCACAAGCTTGAGTAATGCTATCAAGTGCCTATTCATGCCTAGCATAATCATATCTTTACATAAATGATTCATGTTAATATACCAAGCTCACCTACCTGGTTTATCATTATCTATTCTTGCAATCACATTTGCTGGCCGCGTTTCAATGTATTGATATGGTAAATACAAGAAGTGTATAAAAGTTTCCCAGTTTACGAAAAAAATATTTTCATTGTCATTTTGAGACAGGTTGAATTCCTGAATATATCATCACGGTTACCTCAAAAACTGCTTCAGTCCAGTAGGAAATATAATCTCAATAATTAGAATGCTTCCGCTATCTCATCCTGGATGCATCCTTGTTACACCGCGTGCCGCCGTGGCCAGGCTACATGTGTCCTCCTCCCTCCTAGCAGGCTATACCCCCTCCAGCAGCCTGGGCTACACTCAAGTAACCACCAGTCTGTTCACCCCAATAGCTGCCAATCTTAGTCTCAACCCCCAGCAACAGACCAGCTACAGTAGCAACGGACTCGCAAGTCTAGGCTCGTCCACGCCCGGAGCGATAGGATCAGGTTCGTAGATGATGATGCTCCTCAATGAAGCTTTGATAGAACCTGAGACCAGTCCAGCCCTGGTTGTCTTCAGAAAGCAGTTCAGTGTTTATTGTCGTGCAGACTAAACTTGAATATGTGTTTTTCATGCCCTTTGTATTTGTTTGGCTGTACTGCTGCCTTTGGTATACCTGCTCTTTGTCATGTAATTTGGCATTGTCATAGCCAAGAGCAAATGTGCAATAGAACTTGCGTGTAGAATCTTCCTTCCTTTGATTCACATACACTTTAATTAAATGTATTAGTTAATGACTGATCGAAGTGTTGCCTGGACCTCATTCCACAGAGTAATCTTAGTGATACGACCATAGAAAGTCAATAAATAAATTTGAGGGATCGGGTCGCCCTGTCATCTGAGGTGCTGCAATTCGCTGTGCAGAGTTGTGTCCTTTGGGTACGCCAGAAACCTGAGATAGTGTTTTTAATCACTGTTCCCTCTGATACTCGTTTCTAGGTTTTGTCAGTCTTAGACCTACATGGCTTCGTGCTTTCCTCCTGCATAAGGCCGACACGCCATGATATATGGAATATTGTTCAGAGGCGTGGAACCCAACCCAACTCAATTAGTCAATGTTATGATATTGTAGAACTAAGATCACTTTGTGAAACAAAGACATGGGCAAAGTCTCACAAAGCAACCTTAGCGCTACAACTGTTAATATTAAAGGAATGGTGTTCAAACAGTCTTCACTAGGTTTAACAAGTCTCCGTACATTCGGGGCGTGGTGATAGGTTACAAGGATGATTGAAAATATTTTAAAGGGTAACATAAAATTGTTTAGAAATAAATTGCCAAGTACTGTTCTCTGCCACTATGTACAAAAGGGTTTCACAGCAGGCCACCGTTTCCTTAACGCTAATCCTCTTTTAAAATTACTATCGATTATGTATATCTCGACAAAGTGAACCGTTACAACTTGAATCGTAACGGAAAGATAACCCGTGGTGTTTTGTCACAACAGGATAATGTTCAACAAAGAAGTCTTTAACTCTCAGTTCTAATATATGAATGTTTGCATGACAGTAGCAGGGCTTAGCTTGTCATCAGTGATTGACTTTACAAAACTGCTATTGTCTTGAGTTTAGTGAGGTAAGAAATCTGTACATCATGTGTGTTCTACCAGGCAACGGCACTGTTACAGACCACCTAGCACTTTGTTCACATACTAACACCTCATCACCATTGATCATGTTACGATATGGATGGAGGGTTTGGCTGGCAGTCCTGTAGACAACACTAGAGAGTAGTGCATGAACTGTAGATTTTGTAGTAAGTCATCATGAATTTGTCAGTTGCTTTTTCAGGAAGTTGTTAGTTTCGTAATGAGGCTACTGGTCCATTTATAGAAGTATACAGGTACTCTCACTCAAGCTCAACACACAAACACAGAGACTGTTCAATAAAGACAGATTTGGGCTGAAGAATAGCATTTTAAGTTTTTGCCGATTTGAATGGACACAATAATACTTTAGTAAAATACTCTCTTGAACCTGCATAGAATGGATGTTTAGGCTGAAATGGTATTCTTATTCTACTATTAATACTTTACAAAAAATGGACAAAATCTTATATTTCTGTATATATACTTTTTACCCATTTCTATCATCAATATAGAACTGGAGCATCTAAATTTAGCTATAAAAAAAAATCATATTGTGAATAAAACAATACGATATTCCAAACCAAATTCTATTTTAACATTTAAACTCAATTATCCACATTGAGCATTCATGTTCAGAATTACTGTCAAATGTTACCAAGTCAGATATTTTCATTTTGTTGCATGTAATTTGATGTCGGTAATCATTGTAGCTTTCATAGCAGTCACAGAGTACATATTATTAATGATATATTAATTATGCATGATATTCCTGTGTACACCCAAGTTAGGTAACTATAATAAATGGGTAATGTTTGCTTGTGTGAGGTGTGACAATTATGCAGTAGTGACAATGCAAAATGTATACCTTGTTCATTGCAAAAAGTTGTAGGTTATGATAACACCACAATCAAATTGAAAACTGTAATTAGTCTTTGCTAACTATTACTATTGAAGATTTTAAAAAAATTGGAAATTTATTTCTAAATTGCAATATTTCTAAATGCCTAAGTACATGTATAAGTGGAAGTACCTCATTTGTGTTGACAGCTTATCAGTGTTGCTGGAAACTTATGCCAGGTGTTTTCTGTAGGTCAGCGCCGGGAATCGTTTGACGTGAAGCGGCAACAGCTACCCGTTGGTGGCTATTACAGCCAACTGAGTGGGATGGCCTCCCCGGCCGGCCCTGGAGGTCTCATGCAGCCAGGGCAGTCAATGACACCGCCCCCATCACTATCTGGATCAACCTCGAATCTCACACTAGGATCGTGGGATAATTGTGGTAAGACAGTTTCCTTATTACTGTATTTGCCAAACTAAGCGCTCTGCTCCAATAAACACCCACTGACCAACTCCTAGACCAGCCTGTAAGTAATCTTAGCCCACAGTACTAAGCCTCACAATTAACATGACAATCTGTATTTTCTTCTGCACATTCCAAATCATTTCAGTAAAGAGCAGTGTATGAAGGCTTACCACCTCATAACTATTTATTGAGGGGGCACCGGTGGCCCAGTAGTCTAAGGCTTCGTGATTTGCTGTACAGAGTTGCGCCCCTTTGGCACGCCAGAAACCTATGATTGTGGGTTCGAATCCTGGTTCGCCCTGATTATGTTTCTAGGTTTGTCAGCACCATACCCGTGCTCGTGGGTTTCACCAAAGTGGTTAACGTCTGAGACCTGCATCACTTCGGGCTTTCCTCCCACATTAAGCTGACACGCCGTGATATAACTGGAATACTGTTAAAGCGGTGTTAAACCAAACTCAATCACATAACTATTATTGAAAAAGTTTGTTTCATATACGTTTGAACTAAGTCTGTTCTCATCTGCTTGATGTCAGACAACAAATGTTGTATGGATTTTATCAGTGTCCCCCCAGTTTGTCCAGATCCCAGGGCACTTGTTTTGGCAAATATCGTGCATATGTTTCCTCTCAGAAGGTTATTTTTTCAGGCGCTTAAAATGGATTCTTACTTTGTTTTACTATGATCTCCAGTTATTTAATCATCAATAGCGTTAACAGCTGATTAATAATTGTTAGCATCAAAGTGAATTTGAAACCCTTCAGTTTGCAATGACACAACGGAATTGGATACTACTGCAGAATACAAGGAAAGTGAAAGGCTTGTTTCATGTCTCAAGATGAGAATATTATGAATTTAAGAAATAGGTATGGGAGTATTTGTGAGTAATGTGATTATGGTGAGAAGAAAGCAATGTCGTGACCTTCCTACCTATGGTTCTTGTCCCTCGCCAGGCCTGGGTGGTAGCGGGCGCCCCTACTCCGCAGCCCCGGGTGCAGAAGCCAAGTACAGAGCTGGACTTATCTCACCTGCCAATGGTCTGTTTGGGAACTCCACTTTGTTCCAGAATCGTAATTTTGCATCTCGAAGGTAAGTCAATTTTAGAACTATCCCTTCCATCAATGCTGTCTTTAGGGACCTAGGTAAAGGAAGTCTTTGGTTATGCCCTTTCACAGGTAGATAGGCACCATGAAATAAATCAAACTTGCTCTTGGGGCTAATTGTTTATATAAAATAACCAGAATTGAGAAAAGTTTCACTAGCTGAAGGATTAATTAGGGGTCCATCTCGGCACTTCGAGCAAATAGGGGAGCCCCTGTCCACTACTGAAAGCAGTGTTTTTTCGTGGGCAAAGGGTTACTTGACCCCAAGGTTTGATGTCTGAGGCTCTGGACATAGTAACACGACCTCCCTGGCTGTCCTGGTATTATTACAACAGTGGAGTTATTTTGAGACCTTCACTACGATACTATGTAAGTGCTTTTTTTTTTGTATTTTCAGTGCTAGTTTGTCGAAGGAGGTGACAGGACGTAGCCGTCTGCTTGAGGACTTCCGTAACAACCGTATTCCAAATCTCCAGCTGAAGGACCTCGTCAATCATGTGGTCGAGTTCTCTCAGGACCAACATGGTTCAAGGTCAGTACTCAATTCTTTTCCTCCATACAATTGTCCCCTTAATGGGACCAGAAAGGATGCTAGGTTGCTGTTTGACAGGGGCTTTAAATATTAAGTCTGGACCATACAATCCAGTGATTGATGTTACTTGCAAGATCCAGCACTGTTGGGGTATGATGACAAGTCACCGGGTCAAATGCAGGAGGTCACCTCTTACAGATTTCTGGGGACCAATCAGAGCTCCCGATAACTTTCAGAGCAATTGAGTTTTTACCCTAGGGTTTCCATTTTAATGGGGTTATTTCATTTAAGAATTGACCTTCACTTTGTGTGAGTTCATTGGAGTATGAACCTTCATAGAGTGAGGGCCAAACTGTATGAACGTCGGAGCTTGAAATTTTTATCACAATTTCTTACCTCAAAGGATGTAGGCCAAGATCTAAACACAATTTTATTATTTAGTACGTGTGACTTCATGTTTACACTGACAGCCAAACAACAACCAGCTATATCGCGGAATAAAATAGTTCCCCAAAAAGAGAGGTGACATGAGTGTATGGATGCAGAACTTGCTCTTCAGAAACATCTTACGCAACACATGTGTTCATATAATATCCCCATTAGATGAGAAATGAACTGTAATAAACTACCTCAGTAAGTCAGTCACAATGACAGCACGTCGTAATACATTTACATCAAGTACAAGACGTCAAAATGGCCGACACGATAAACATGACGGGAGGATTTCCGAAGTTGTTAATGAACCTGTGGCGGTTACATGTGTTAGTCATCATTGATCAACTGACCAATTATTGACAGGTGATTAAAGATGCGTCAAACAGACACCACGGTAAATTCGTAGATTGCTGGAGACGGTCACTGTCAGCCTAGAGACAGATCGAATCGATACTGACGATAGTTTGGATGTGCATTTTTTCGTTTGTTCATTAGGATGGGCCGTAGCGAGGAAATTCGTGAACAATCATGCAGTCAAGCTCTTACGTTTCTCAATGTATACTAAAATTCTGAGACCAAGATTAAAGGTTCTAAATGATCAGAAATAATGTTTATGTATATTTTAGTGCTAGGGAATTCCCAGGGGTTTCCCCAGGAATGTGGAAGTAGTCCGTCAGTGTTAACGTCATTTCAAGAACACGGTCTTGTGAAAAACGTATGAACGTCAAATTGTGTCGTTCATACACTTACGAACGTCAATTTCGCGGTCATGTGACCGACCTCTCGTCCAATGGAAAAGTCGCATATCGTGTAAACGTCAAATTAAAAAATTAATTGTCATTGGGTAACCAATATTTTTTCACTCATCTATTCATCACTCTGTTGGGTTTTTCCCAAAATTAGTGAACATTTTAAGATTTAAAAAAAAAAGTGAAATAATGTTTTAGATGCATATAACTGTTTTAAATATATAGGCTTCACTCGGAAAGTAAATTAGCTCATAATTGTGTATTTACGTGTGCTGTTTTTATACATTTGAGTTTTTCTTTTAATGCATGCGTTTCTGTATGCAAGTTAATTGAAAGTAATTGGGATTTGAATATTTTTGGGGTTATTTTACGCAAATACGCTGCTTATTCATAGCTCTGCATGTGGCATATATACGCTGTAACATGTATTATGATGAACACATACTTGGAGGATATGCACATTATGATCAATCACTCGGGTGCGTCGTCAAACAACCCAACAAAACTAAAATATTCCTCAAAGCCCCTTTGTGTCTTGCTCGCTCGCTCGCTCACTCACTCACTCACTCACTCACTCACTCACTCACTCACTCACTCACTCACTCACTCACTCACTCACTCACTCACTCACTCACTCACTCACTCACTCACACAACCATGGCATTCATGACAACTGATGCCTTCTTTTCAGATTCATTCAACAGAAACTTGAGCGTGCCACTCATCAAGAAAAGGCGATGGTGTTCGGAGAGATTCTCACAGCGGCCTACAGTCTCATGACGGATGTCTTTGGAAATTATGTCATCCAAAAATTCTTCGAGTTTGGATCCTCCGATCAGAAGCAGACCCTAGCTCAGCGGGTACGAGGCCATGTATTGCCTCTTGCTCTACAGATGTACGGCTGTCGAGTTATCCAAAAAGCATTGGAATCCATACCAGCAGACATGCAGGTACTTACTTTGTTCTAACTTTGTTCTTACTTTGTTCTAACTTTGTTCTTACTTTGTTCTTACTTTGTTCTAACTTTGTTCTTACTTTGTTCTTACTTTGTTCTAACTTTGTACTTTGTCGATTGTAGCTGCAATAAACATACTGACAAATATACTACTCAAAAGAAATTAGAGAAAACCCTGATTGTTTTTCATATGACTATAGTTAATCTGTGGGTATTGCAACACAGTCTTCCAATTGTGGGTGTTCTTTTTGAGTAGTATTCATGACAAAGGCAGATCAATATATTTTTAATTAATCAAATTTAGGAAATAATATACTATTCCTTTGTATAATATTTTTGTTTAGGATAGAAACACTGTAGGAATATTATGTTTTAGAAATATTTCTATTCATGTTTGAAACACAACTGATCTTTAACCGTTGGGTATAGGAATAATTAGTGTGAGAGGAGGGAGCTTGGTGTGCTATATTTCTAGTGATGTCATTGCCATGTCTGCTCTGTTTCAGGTTGAGATTGTGAAGGAGCTGGACGGACATGTGTTGAAGTGTGTGAAAGATCAAAATGGCAATCATGTAGTACAAAAGTGTATAGAGTGTGTAGACCCCAAACATCTTCAGTTCATCATTGATGCCTTCAAAGGCCAGGTGAGTCGATTACCCACTGTCGTATTGTTTAATGATGGCAAACTTCTGTGGAGAGCAGCTGTAGGTTTTAATCCACATGTCATTTGCTGTATTTTCTAAATAACCTTTATATGTAAAATTATTGCCTTCTTCACCTTATAAACTTTGTTTGTGGGGCGGTCGGGTAGTCTAGTGGTTAAAGTGTTCGCTCATCACACTAAAGACACGGGTTTGATTCCCGACAAGGGTATAATGTGTGAAGCCCATTTCTGGTGTCACCTGCCGTGATATTTCTAGTATTGCTGAAAGTGGCGTAAAACCATCCTCACTCACTCACTCAATTATAAACTTTGCTCATTTGGAGGTAGCATGACAATATTTTGAGAAATCAGTTGTGGTTGTCAGTACTTTTCTAACGGGATTTTAACCGTCAGTTAAATCCTCTACTTGTTGAACCAAACCAGTTCAGTTTTATGTCGTTTCAATTCAATCATAATCTTTGATACAGTCCCTCTGCATGAAGGTTTTGACAACCCCTCCATAGATTCCCTTGTTCTGATATGCCTGATTGCAGTGATCTGTGACATTTTTCTATGGGGAGGGAAGACTAGCAGAACCAACATTGACATCCATAGTCCTGTGACTGTGGCTCTGTCTTTGTGGCAGACGGGAGCTGAGTACCCTATCTGGGTGTGAGGTATATTCCCTTTCCACAGTGTTGGAGAGAAAACCAGTCCCCTAAACTTGTTTGGGTGTGGGCTGACCTCTGCATATTCCATAGACTTCTCTGAGCCATTGTGGCCGTGACAGGGGAGACAAACCATGCAGAGAACAGAACTTCTAAAGTACATTAGACAGGGTTAGAAACTAACAGTTTTTGTCCACTGGTCCTTATAATGATAACATATAGCAAAACCCGTAAAATTGGCCAATTTCTACAAGTCCTTATGATACCTTTACTATTGGGCAGTTTGGTAAGGATTACAGGACAAGTGCCAATTTCTAACGCTGTTAGACAGTTTTCGCTTTCCCTTTGTGATCAGCTCACCTGAACTGAAAGTTTGTGGGCTCATGTCGAGGAACACTGTCGGTTAGAAGTTGTTTTTTTTCTATAGATGATGAAACCAAAAGGTGTATGAGAATGAAAATGTTCATGAATTATCTCAGCAATGGCTTTTATGAAAAGTACTTTCAGAGTTAAGATCTTAATTTACATGTGGATTCTGACTGAAATAGGGCCCCGGTGCACTTTAACTGGTTTAGAGGCGATACATGGATTGGAGGGGTCAGGATCAGTCATTTGGTTGATGGCATCATCAAACATGTGGTGGTGTGGGACATTGCACGTATGAGTCACTGGTTTGTCTGATCCAGATTTGATGGAAAGGCCACCATCATTAATATTGCAGAGTGTGGCGTTAAACAACAAGCAAGGCAAAATAAATGTGGCCACCGTGGCAGCCACAGTGAAACATCAGGTTTTTAACTTTTTAAGCGTGTATCTCTATCAAGTGGTACACAGAATAGCAATATGCATATTTTTTTGCCTTTAACTATTACCCTTCACATATGCTACATACCAAACTTGCCACAAAATGAAATATTAAAATCTGAATTTTTTGTCATCCGACATTGACATCCATAGTCCTGTGACTGTGGCTCTGTCTTTGTGGCAGACGGGAGCTGAGTGCCCTATCTGGGTGTGAGGTATATTCCCTTTCCACAGTGTTGGAGAGAAAACCAGTCCCCTAAACTTGTTTGGGTGTGGGCTGACCTCTGCATATTCCATAGACTTCTCTGAGCCATTGTGGCCGTGACAGGGGAGACAAACCATGCAGAGAACAAAACATCTTCTTTCCCTCCATGTTCAGGTCACTGAAAGTTTGTGTGCCCATGAACACCATCATCCGCCAGTCATAAATGTTTGTTTTCAACATTGCCTATAAAACCAAAAGGTGTATGCAAATGAAGTATTTCATGGTTGCTCTCAGAATTTTTATCTTAATTTACATATGGCCGATCCCATGAGGATCTGGGTTGAATTTGACCTCAGCTCACTATTACTTGTAAGAGGTGTCTACATGGATGGGTGTGGTCAGGCTCATTGATTTGGTTGATATGTCATTGTACGCTGCACATGATATTGATAACTGGTTTGTCTGGTCCAGACTTGATTATTGACTGGCCACCCGAAGATTTCTGGGATATTTCTACTTGTGATATTAACAAACCAAAAATAAGGTAAATAAATATGGCCACCATGGCAACCATATTGAAAACATCAGGTTGGTCATTCAGCAAGGATCTCTTTCAAGTTGGATATGTTGTAAATGTGTGATATACAAATTAACAAGATACAAAATGTTTTGCCCTGTTAACTATCACCTTCACATATGCCACATTCCGAACATGTCACAAAACATATAATTTAAGTCTTCCTGAATTTGTATATCATCCGACATTGACATCCATGGTCCTGTGACTGTGGCTCTGTCTTTGTGGCAGACGGGAGCTGAGTGCCCTTTCTGGGTGTGAGGTATATTCCCTTTCCACAGTGTTGGAGAGAAAACCAGTCCCCTAAACTTGTTTGGGTGTGGGCTGACCTCTGCATATTCCATAGACTTCTCTGAGCCATTGTGGCCGTGACAGGGGAGACAAACCATGCAGAGAACAAAACTTCTGAAGTGCATTAGACAGTTTTCGCTTTCCCTCTGTGTTCAGCTCACCTGAACTGAAAGTTTGTGGGCTCATGTCGTGGAACACTTTCATCTGTCTGTCAGTGTTTGGTTTCAAAATATTCTTGGATCGTTTTACGTATTTCCAACCAATTGGGGATTCTGTGTTAAATTTGACACCAGCTCACTTCTACTGGCAAGAGGTGACTACATGGCTGAGTGTGGTCAGACTCGGTGATTTGCTTGATAGCATGTCATCGCACACTGCAAATAATATCAATCACTGGTTTATCTGGTCCAGACTTGATTATTGAGTGGTCACTAAAATATTTCTGGCGTAGTGCTGAGTGTGATGTTAAACAAACAAAACAAAAGGATAGATAAATATGGCCACCATGGCAGCCATATTGAAACCATCAGGTTTGCATGTATCTTTCAAGTTGGATATGTTGTTAACATGTGCTATAGGGAATAACAAGATACATATCTTTTTATCTCATTAACTATCACCTTGACATACCAAACTTGTCAGAAAACATATAATTTAAGTCTTTGCCAGAATTTGTTTGTCATCCAACATTGACATCCATAGTCCTGTGACTGTGGCTCTGTCTTTGTGGCAGACGGGAGCTGAGTACCCTATCTGGGTGTGAGGTATATTCCCTTTCCACAGTGTTGGAGAGAAAACCAGTCCCCTAAACTTGTTTGGGTGTGGGCTGACCTCTGCATATTCCATAGACTTCTCTGAGCCATTGTGGCCGTGACAGGGGAGACAAACCATGCAGAGAACAGGACATCTTCTTTCCCTCCATGTTCAGCTCACTTAAAGTTTGTGTGCTCATGAACACCATCCGTCAGTCATAAATATCTGTTTTCAACATTTCCTCTAATATCAAAAGGTGTATGCAAATGAAGTTTTTCATGGGTGCTCTCAGAATTTTTATCTTCATTTACATATGGCCAACCCCGTGAGCATCTGGGTTGAATTTGACCTCAGCTCACTATTACTTGTAAGAGGTGTCTACATGGATGGGTGTTGTCAGGCTCAGTGATTCGGTTGATATGTCATTGTACGCTGCACATGATATTAATAACTGGTTTGTCTGGTCCAGACTTGATTATTGAATAGCCACCAAAATAGTCTGGGATATTTCTACATATGATATTTACAAACCAATATAAGGTAAATAAATATGGCCACCGTGGCAGCCATATTGAAAAGCCAGGTTTGCTGATTCAGCATGTTTATCTTTTATATTGGATATGTTGTAAATGTGTGGTATACAAATTAACAAGATACAAATAGTTTTGCCCTGTTAACTATCACCTTCACATATGCCACGTAACGAACATGTCACAAAACATATAATTTAAGTCTTCCTGAATTTGTATATCATCCGACATTGACATCCATAGTCCTGTGACTGTGGCTCTGTCTTTGTGGCAGACGGGAGCTGAGTGCCCTTTCTGGGTGTGAGGTATATTCCCTTTCCACAGTGTTGGAGAGAAAACCAGTCCCCTAAACTTGTTTGGGTGTGGGCTGACCTCTGCATATTCCATAGACTTCTCTGAGCCATTGTGGCCGTGACAGGGGAGACAAACCATGCAGAGAACAAAACTTCTGAAGTGCATTAGACAGTTTTCGCTTTCCCTCTGTGTTCAGCTCACATGAACTGAAAGTTTGTGGGCTCATGTCGTGGAACACTTTCATCTGTCTGTCAGTGTTTGGTTTCAAAATATTCTTGGATGGTTTTACGTATTTCCAACCAATTGGGGATTCTGTGTTAAATTTGACACCAGCTCACTTCTACTGGCAAGAGATGACTACATGGCTGAGTGTGGTCAGACTCAGTGATTTGCTTGATAGCATGTCATCGCACACTGCAAATAATATCAATCACTGGTTTATCTGGTCCAGACTTGATTATTGAGTGGTCACTAAAATATTTCTGGCGTAGTGCTGAGTGTGATGTTAAACAAACAAAACAAAAGGATAGATAAATATGGCCACCATGGCAGCCATATTGAAACCATCAGGTTTGCAAGTATCTTTCAAGTTGGATATGTTAACATGTGCTATACGGAATAACAAGATACATATATTTTTATCCCATTAACTATCACCTTGACATACCATACTTGTCACAAAACATATAATTTAAGTCTTTGCAAGAATTTGTTTGTCATCCAACATTGACATCCATAGTCCTGTGACTGTGGCTCTGTCTTTGTGGCAGACGGGAGCTGAGTACCCTATCTGGGTGTGAGGTATATTCCCTTTCCACAGTGTTGGAGAGAAAACCAGTCCCCTAAACTTGTTTGGGTGTGGGCTGACCTCTGCATATTCCATAGATTTCTCTGTGCCATTGTGGCCGTGACAGGGGAGACAAACCATGCATGTGGGTGCTCTCAGAATTGTTATCTTAATTTACATATGGACAATCCCTGAGGATCTGGGTTAAGTTTGACCTCAGCTCACTATTACTTGTAAGAGGCGTCTACATGGATGGGTGTTGTCAGGCTTGGTGATTTGGTTGATATGTTGTCATTGTACGCTGCACATGATATTAATAACTGGTTTGTCTGGTCCAGACTTGATTATTGACTGGCCACCAAAAACATTCTGTGATGCTAACCCCGTCTCACCCCAACCCCAAAAAGAAGATAAAATAAATATGGCCACCATGGCAGCCATATTGAAACCATCAGGTCTGTCCATTCAGCATGTATCTTTCACGTTGGATTGATGTTAACATGCGCTATACGGTATAACAAGATACATATATTTTTTATTCTATAAACTATCACATTGACATACCAAACTTATCACAAAGCTTATTATTTAAGTCTTTGCCTGAATTTGTTTGTCATCCAACATTGACATCCACAGTCCTGTGACTGTGGCTGTCTTTGTGGCAAACGGGAGCTGAGTACCCTATCTGGGTGTGAGGTATATTCCCTTTCCACAGTGTTGGAGAGAAAACCAGTCCCCTAAACTTGTTTGGGTGTGGGCTGACCTCTGCATATTCCATAGACTTCTCTGAGCCATTGTGGCCGTGACAGGGGAGACAAACCATGCAGAGAACAAAACTTATAAATTGTACATGAATGACAAAGTAGATGCAATTTTTGGATAAAAACTTCTTTATTTACTGCAAGTTGTTATCCATAAATTATCTACTTTATCATCCGTCAACTTCTTTGTAATGCCTATCAAACAATTTAATGTACGTGAATGTTTCGTTTGTAAGTGATTTGCAGCAAAAGGTGATATTTTGTTTGACATCCTTTGTTCCTTTCTCCTCCTCCCAGGTTTTCACACTGTCAACCCACCCCTACGGCTGCCGTGTCATCCAGCGAATCCTGGAACACTGCATGCCTGAACAAACAATGCCGATCCTTGAAGAGCTGCATGAACACACCGAGCGCCTAGTGCAAGACCAGTACGGCAACTACGTCATTCAGCATGTTCTGGAACATGGCCGCCCAGAGGATAAGAGCAAGATTGTAACCATGATCAGAGGCAAAGTCTTGCTTCTCAGTCAACACAAATTTGCCAGGTATGGGTTCATAGAACAAAGATTTAAAGCATTCAAGGGTTCCTAGATGATAGAAGTGAAACATTCCAGGGTTTCCTAGTTGAAGGAAGTAAAGCATTCCAGGGTTTCCTAGTTGAAGGAAGTAAAGCATTCAAGGGTTTCCTAGTTGAAGGAAGTAAAGCATTCAAGGGTTTCCTAGACAATAGAAGTAAAGCATTCAAGGTTTTCCTAGTTGAAGGAAGTAAAGCATTCAAGGGTTTCCTAGTTGAAGGAAGTAAAGCATTCAAGGGTTTCCTAGTTGAAGGAAGTAAAGCATTCAAGGGTTTCCTAGACAATAGAAGAAAAGCATCCAAGAGTTTCCCAGTTGAAGGAAGTAAAGCATTTAAGGGTTTCCTAGACAATAGAAAAGCATTGAAGCTGTGCTTAATATTCTGAGTTTTATCTTTCATTTTATTTTCAAGAATGTGTGATGTAAGAGTGTGATGGAAATTGACTGACTTTTAAACTCTATGCAAGCTGATCTTTGATCTTTTCTCATAAATATTTAATATGTAGTTGACACCCTTGTTCAAATTTTTAAACGAATTTCCAACACTGCCTTGGATCAATTGAAGGTTTGGCTGCATGATATGTACTACTCAAGAAAAAAGAAGTTAAAGAACGCCCGAGTCTTTCATATTACTACAGTTAACCTGTCATGGCATGACACATTTACTATAGTAATATGAGAGAATCAGGTGGTCCTCAACGTCTTTTGAGTAGCATGTGTCAAATCCATTCAATTGTTCTTCACAAAACTACATGGAGCCATCATGTCTGACTCCAGCTACTCTTGGCTATTCCTCACTTCCTTAGTCCAAGACGAGTGAAAATTCTTTGACAATATGCTAGTTGTGATTGCCCTAAATTAATATTAGTGATCCTTCATTGGACGTAATAACGTCTTAGAAGTTTTTTTTTAAGTGTGTGATGAAACGTTGTAGGTTTTAGTTGTGTCCATGTGCTCAATAACCTTAAATAAAAAGACACTATATTACCACCTGTGTTACTCCAGTCTGGGCCAAAAGCGTTTAACTCAACGAGACCGTACTTGTATTTTGGCATTACTTTCAGTAGATATTAGTCTCAGCATAAGGACTAGCATGGGCTGATCTTGCTAGACCAGAAGTAATTTTACTAGACTCGTTCTTTGTGTCTAAAGTCGCAGACTGTTACACTGTTGCAAATGTTAGTCTTGCTGTTCGTACAGAACACAAAAGACGTTAAAAGATGGTACTTGTTGTTACCCTGTCTGGCGCTCGGCATTAAGGGGCTAAAACAAGGACTGGTCGGCTCGGAGTCAGTATACTGTGTCTGAGTGGGGTATCCATGTTAAACTGCGGCATGGTATCTCAGTGAGCTAGCACTATAAATCAGCATCAGTCCAGACTAGTACAAGCAGCCACACAAACACACTCGTACATGCACGTCGCTATATAAGTGCAATAATCTTGGACGCAAAGTTAAACCCCATTTCACCTCACCTCGTACAGAACAGTACACGTTTTAAGATGGTCTCCTCTTTGTTTCAGCAATGTTGTAGAGAAATGTGTGTCCCATTCATCCCGGCAAGAGAAGGCGTTTCTCATTGAAGAGGTCTGCTCTATTAATGATGGGTAGGTGTGCCTTAAATTTACCATCCTTTAGTGAGTGACGTAGGGTTTGACTCTTTTACCACCTCGGGTCGGATAACCAGCCATGACGTCATGAGTCCCATAAACATTGCTGGCCAGTTATTCGTCCGGAAGAAATCCAGATCATTTACTCTCATAGCCACATTAAAATAACAGAAGTTTCATTAACCTAACTGTCGTATATATATGCTGATCCATGAAGATCCGGGTTAGAATAGGTCTTCAGCAACCCATGCTTGCCGTAAAAGGCGACTGCTTGTCGTAAGAGGTGACTAACAAATAAAATTATATATCAACCTCTGGTTGCAGCAAATTCCGAAATTTCCACTAAGTTTCATGTTTTGAACACTATCGTTATTTCCTTCTCTAAATCTTCAGAATAATGCGACATTATAAATTTGATTATCTGCCTTAGTTCACATGCTTGATTTTGACCAATCAAGGCCCTCGTAGTAAATTACAGCAAAAAGCATCATTGGATGCCAATTTGTATCCAATAAGATCACGTTACAACAATAAGAATACTCCTGCTGAGGTTACTGTAAAATTATTGATGTTCAGAGCTTTTGGGTGATATTAAAAATCAAACATACAAAGCTTCGAAAATGGAAGTATTTGCCAGCATAAAGACGCTATTATCGCGAAATAGATGATAGGTAGTATTTAATATCCTTTTTATCATTTTCCAATTACTTGAACAATGACAATATAAATAAAATAGGTAAGTCAGTTTAAGTGGATATTATGAAATCTTAAATTATCAAAATTATCACTTCCTTGATGCTTCATCTGGATGTTATGAAGGTGTTAGCTTACATTCTTATTAAAACAAAATTAATTAAGTTATAGATGCATTACATGTATTTTATTCGTGTTATAAACAAAGCTTTCGTATTTATTAACTGTAGGATTAGACCTTTCAATTGGTGTATGACCTGTAGAAGCAAATATGCTTTACAAGCTGATATTTTCCTTGATAAATGTAGGCTTCATCTATCACCCTAGAGTCTCGGGGGAACTCAGTGTGATAGCAGTTAAAGCTTCTGGTTGGCATGTTGAAAGAGTAAATGACACATTTGTATGCTTCAGCCATGCAGCAACTGTTTTAATAGTTCTTGAAAATCACTTTTAAGTCTCTGAAAATAAAAACTTTGATTATTGATGCAAGTAAGGTGAGGATGACAAAGCAAGCAATAACCAACATTGACATCCCCAGTCCTGTGACTGTGGCTCTGTCTTTGTGGCAGACGGGAGCTGAGTGCCCTATCTGGGTGTGAGGTATATTCCCTTTCCACAGTGTTGGAGAGAAAACCAGTCCCCTAAACTTGTTTGGGTGTGGGCTGACCTCTGCATATTCCATAGACTTCTCTGTGCCATTGTGGCCGTGACAGGGGAGACAAACCATGCAGAGAACAGAACTTATAAGTTGTTAATGTTCTTGTGGTAAATGATTTGTAGCGAAACGGAGATCGACATGCAGGTTTCCTTCTCCTCAGAACTAAAAAGTATGCAGAGCTCCAGATAAGCTGCGTATCTGCGTGAAATACGCATGAGAAATGCAGAAATACGCAGTAAAATATAATCCAAGCGTATCAAATACGCAACGAACATTATAGATACGCTACAAAAATAAAACTTGTGCGTATCATCAAAATATTGTGAAGTAACCCTGCCTATTCGATTAGCAAATCAGCAACTTATTTTGAAATTATAAACAGGCATTCCATCAACCTTGCCAAACTCCACGATGACAGTTACATCATGATCATTTTCCATCACACTTTCTTGTGGAAGTATCGTGGTATTTTTTAGTCTTATGAAGCTCTCGAACCCACACGACACCAGTTTGCAGGGACTAGATGAATAGTGTTTTAAATATTTTACTTAAATACCCACATGTGTAAAAACTAGTGGGTAACAGAAATTTGAATACGCAGATAGAATTACTGATACCCAATGATTTTAAAATGCATGGGTAAAATACCCACAACACCAAAAGCTTATCTGGAGCTCTGAGTATGGTAGAAATGTTTATCCTTCCTTACAAAATGTTACGTGGTTGTTTTGGCACTGTCTTTCGTTTGCAGAAAAATGGTACATCTTCAACACTGTTTTCATGCTATTTAACTATACTTGACGAATTCAACAGTTGGACTACCTATATGGTTTCCAGGGTAGAATGTCTCCACTAATAGGTATGGTCATAGGAGTCGACCAAATGGATCAGGTGGGCAGGTTTGTTGACTTGTTTGATTGTGTGTCCTCGTACTGCGATGTTGTGGATTGTTGCTAAACAATATCATAACTCATTTGTCTGGCCCAGACTCGATTTACAGGCTCTCATATCCGAAGAGTGTCTAAAATGTGACTTTTCCTTCCAGTGCGCTGTACACAATGATGAAGGATCAGTTCGCCAACTATGTTGTGCAGAAGATGATCGATGTGGCAGAACCACCACAGCGCAAGATACTCATGCACAAGATCCGTCCTCACATTGGAACCTTGCGCAAATACACGTATGGCAAGCATATTCTTGCCAAACTAGAAAAGTTCTTCCTGAAAAACAACTCTGACCTGGGACCCATTGGAATGCCCCCAAATGGAGCACTTCCATGAAGAGCATTACTTTTTGTGTCTGAAGAGTAAAATAGTTTATACTACTGGGATCCAAAAACAGACCCTGTTTTATCAACTGCGAAACAGTTCTGTATTGGATATTTCTACAGAGATAGAAATAAGATTGCGGTTGCGATAACAAAACCACCCCTAATGTCCGTTTCCCAGTGTATACTAATGTTACTCTTCCGGCTAATCCTTTTTTGAAATCCGTTTCTCGGAAATGAGATTCGGTAGAAGATTTTATTTTTGCTTTCACCTTTCTCAAATTTGTTTTCGCATCAATTTTGCTGACTTTATTGGTCGAGCGAGAATCAAACGCCGAGTTTGCAAGTCCGAAGGAGATGCTCATTCACATGCCAGGTTTACAATAGTAGTTTGTACTAATGTGGTATTTTACTTGTTTACACAGTTTGGGAGGTCTAGTTAGGGGTTTTCTCTTTGCTTTTTCTTAACCATCCATAGGTAGATTTTGTGACAGTATCTATATAATCCATTATATTCTTGTTGTCGCTTGTGTGACTAGTGCCTTTGTGGGTTTGTTGATCGGGCAGAGGATAGTAATTGCATGTCTGGCTCAAACTGTAGAAAGCTGCTTAGCAGGTTCTTGCATCATTAGGAATCACTTTGAGGGAGTTAACGTTGAAATTGACTTAAGGACGGAATTTACAGTTGAAATTGTTTGATTTTTAGTAATTGATATACCAGGTGGAGGTGATCAGTCCCTTTTTGGAGAGAGGTGCTTTGACCAACAATCAGGTGACAGGTTGACTATTTGGCTCCTGATCTTCGTATGGTATTAAGTCTGTTGATGCGAGGGCCCATTTGGAACCTTGGCAACACCCATAAGGTTACTGCACCTGCAATTCTTTATTGAATGTTGTTGTGAATGTTGTACATTTATCAGTGTTTTTTTTTTTCCATTTTTTTTCTCTTCTTCTCAATGAAGATAGGCAATGGGCCAAAGTGAGTAGGAAGGTGGAGAATTGAGCCAGTTCACAATTGTTGACCTTGCAGTAACACAGGATATTGCTAAAGTTACCTCTTAAACTATCTTTGTAAGAGTATATATCATATGTGAAGTTAGCAGTTGATATTTGAGAATTCTAGAATAAGGATTTCTAGCACTAGCTATGTTCTGTCATTATGCACAGCTTGTTGATGTGAATACTTATAAAGTGACATTATGTTGGCTTCCAAACTGTATAACTTGTCTGAATGGTAAGGTTAAAGCTCTGCTTCACTTCATTCTGCAGAATAGATAGGTGAAAGTCTCAAAATAGTTGATTTGTACATTGCAACCCGGTTCAACCAAAGATCTTGATTTATTTGAATAAAGACAAACTACTTAGATCCTTTAGTTCCTCTGCCAATATGTATATAGAAAGATACAATAATCCGCCAGTGGAGACAAGGCAGGTGGTGAACTGAGTCAGCTTGGTGATCAGCCCATCCAACCATAGCTCATAAGCAGCTGTCATAATGTCCGTAGGAATGTCATCCATACTCCATGAAAAGGACTTTCCCCCAAGTACTTAACTCTCTTAAAGAAGTACATATTTCTGTCAGTATAAATACTCTTAAAGAAGTACATATTTCTGTCAGTATAAGAATGTAATCTCGTTTTTCATTGGTCAGCATACACCAAAGTTCCTATATTGTCCTGGTACGCCTCTGTGTAGATTAGACATAACCATGTTCTTGTAAATCAGGAAAAATAATCAGCAAGATTTCAATACAGTGAAACGATATATATTGTGATTGACTTAGGCATGGAGTATGGATCTTCTACCTTAGAAATTGTCCGAGTGATCTTGTAATCTAAACGTAACAAAGGCTGTTGCACTGGAATAATATTGTATGGATGTGTCAGAATTAGATACGTCTTTATTGAAATTATTAGTTTCTCAGAGCCAGTGAAGAGAGATATTACAGGTCACTGAATATTCTTCTTGTAACTGATCAGGTAGTTCTCTATTTCTGTCTGTTTGGGAAATTTTCATGCCAAAGTTTGCCACATCCATCCACCTGTGACACAACAGGAATCAAAAAAGCATTTTGTGTTGGAATCAAATAATAACTACAGGCAACTGTTGAATATTTTGTATCTATTGCAAAAAGGATTCATTGTATATAACATTGTCAAACGACTTGAAACTCATTTGTACAATCTAGCATTATTCTCCAAAAGATCTGGTTTGTAAAAAAAATATCTTTGAATGTTGTCTCCGAAAATCTGATTTTCATGAGTTTAAAGGAGGACTGTAATATATATTTAGATGTGTAAAACTATAGTGTTCAAACCATAACATTGTACAATAGCGTTTACATTCTGGTGATGTATGTTAAGATGAGATCATTAACATCTCCAACATAAACTTGTACAAATCTCACAAGTTCCATTTCAAACATGCGATCTGTCTCGCTTTGTAAATTTTTACATATAAAACCTTACATACAGTGTAAAGAAAAAGGAATTTTGACAATGTACTTCATTTTCTGCATCAACTTGTTTTCCCATCTATATTTTGTTTGTCAATCAACTAGTGATAGTTCTAGATATCAAAGTATCTGGTATTGAATTGGAAAAGTGATGAAATTAGTGCTGCAAGATATTTTTGCAGGGCCAAGAAATTGTAAAAGAATTGGTTCTCAGGCAGTGGTTGTTAAGTACTGGTAACCATGGGGATAATTTCCCAACCATGCTAAGTGAGTTGTCCTGAACCCAGAAATATAGATCTTTACATTTTGTCTGTTTGCTTACACTCAATGCCTGAGAACCAATCGGATGAATTTATTTTAGTAAGTCCTGTCTGTTCAAGTTATAAGGGTACATACAATACAGTTCTTGTACAAAACTTCTGATGCTGTGGATGCACATACGTGGCTAGTTCCCTGTCAATTCAACTAGACTGTCATCCGGCCTCGAACCCATCTCTGATACTGAAGGTCTGAAGACAATATTGTTAGGTTGGTATGTTTTGGCATTCGAGTGGACAAAGAGACCAATTTCAACCGTTAATATCAGAGATGGGTTCTTTCAGGACTTGCGTATATTAAACAAACTTGTTCATCACTGCCTATGCAACTGCTTGTACAGCTGTCGCCAGAAACTTAAGGTTGTACCAACCAACCTTCCAGGTGTAAAGTGTAAATAGAGACAGAACAGTGTATAGAAAGATTTGTATAAAATCATGGTGGCCAACTCATTGTATGTAAATTTCTCCCATCTAACCTGCGTGTATGCCACACACTCTCCTTGTAAGCTACCCACCTTTTTGTAAAGAGATATTCAAGTATTTTGTAATGGTTATGTTCATAAAATCACTTTTGTAACATTATGTGCATAGGAATTCAATGGCCTTAATTTTCTATCAGCTTGTACAAATGTAAAGAAGCCGGTGTAACCGCTGTGTAAAGATACAAACCATACTGGTGCTATATATAGAGGATAAGATTAAAACCTATTAGATTTGAAACGTCAAATAATCTTGTACAGAGGGACTCGTCTGAACGAGGGAAGTATCACTATGTAAATTTGGAGCTCCACCATCCTTTGTGAATATGGCACATTTCTCAATGAAACTCTGATAGTCCATCCTGATCAGCTACTGGACTGGACCTGCCGACCCAACATTCAAATCTCACTGCAGGGGAGATAACTGCTTCCTACTTTTCATTTTGTGTTGCGTACAGTCGAAAGCTGCACAAGTTGTTACCCACTGGAATAGTTCAGGGTCTCGATTAACAACATTCCAATGTTTGCTATTTCAATATCCTGTGCCTATACTGGAAGAAAGTTTCTGTCACAGCATGGTTAAAATCCCCTGCAGTGATATTGGGTTGAGTCGTCAACCAGTCAATGTCGGTAATCAGGTTTTGCCCTTGAAAGGTGTATGACTGACTGTTGCTGGTAACCAGTGCCCCAAGTTTGCGGGACAGGAGGCATAGGTGTATATTATTATGTTGCATTTAATAACGTTGTCTGTGTTTATCATATAATCCTATTGTAATATTTCATATATATTTCCCATTTTTTTTTGCACTCATCTGTAGTTAGTATTGTAATATTTTTGTGAAATTTGTCAATAGTCGGCCAAATGAAATAAACAGCAGCAGGTGTACATTATTACTCTCTCGTGTAGATTGACATGTGTACAAATGTACATTTTGTAAATCGGATTTGCTATCTGACAGTTTTATATATTAATATGTACAGAGATCACTTTCGTTATTAAAACCCAGGAAACATTTCGCATCATTTGTACAAATGTCACTAACTATCACCAATGAATTTGAGTATTTTCAAATTTTATTCTAGTTGTGCTAAGTTTGCACTAAAATTGGGACCTGTTATTTTCAGCTGTTCAAACCATTGGTAACATTGAATACATTTCTCAGTATTTTGTGCATGTTGTTTTCTTATCATAGACAGAATGTCTTGCAAGGTAGCATTTTTGGTTGTAACATATCTTCAAAGACTTCATTTCCCTTTCTACTCTGTTTTATAAGTTCTTGTGGAAAGGGCTTTTTGTACTGGAGTTTCAGTGGCATGGTTTCACACTTTCACCTTGGAAATATTTATCTAGTCACTGTGGAACTACTGTTAAATGGAAGAAATACCTGGCTTTGTCCTTTCTATTTAAAAATAATCCGATTGTTTGAATTTTACTTCCTAGTTTGTCCTGACTTCTTAAAGTCAGGAGAAATTCTATTGCCTATGGCTTGATGCTTGTGTGATATATATATATTTTAACCTCAGAATTGGATTTGAAGTGGTCTGATATTGTCCTGAAGGCACTTGACAGTTACTTTCTGACACATTTAATCAAGGATTTAACATTTTACCTTCTTACATATTTAATATGTCCATGCTTTGATGTTTTATTTGTCAACAGCACAGGGCCCAAATTGATATGCTGTAGAGGTGTTGGATAGACTTGATGTAGCATGCGGAAATGTTTTCCTTAACATTTTTTTCAAATCCCTGGGGTAAAGCTGTTTGTCTCAACCCCCTTACCATGAATGGTTCTTCCAACAAAGCAGGGGTATTTGGTAAGATAGTGCTATGTGTTTATCTAGATATTCTATTTGCCTTGAATTTTCCCCTTTGACTAGGTATGTGTTTGCCATTATTCCATATATCATTGTGTGCATGTATGTTTTGTAGATTGGAACAGAAAGATAAATCATACTTGTATATTGTTCAATGTGTATTGTAATGTAATTTAGCTTCTGTATATTTGTCCGATACAAATCATGTATATTTATCAGGTTTTTATTCCCTATTTAACAGTAACTGCTGTTTATCTTGTAAAAATGTATGAATCGTTTTGGGGAGTTCACATCTACATTGTGAGTCACGGGCCGAACCAGCTGTAAACAGTCAATTTCATCCATTGCATCATGTAGTCTTGCCAAACTCTACAACCCCACTGGTAGCTTTGGTAAATGTACATGCTGTATAAAGATTGTACAAGTGTAAGAAGCCGTGTTTTGCTATAGACAAATAAAGTTATCATATGATTGTGAACCTGACTTGTTGACTTGCCAACACACCATACCCTGGTAGATGTTGATTTATACTGGAGTGACTGGTGGTCAGTGGAACATTGATGTAAAGGCGGAAGACCGAAGATTATTTCAAGACTGGCAAGCAGACAATAGGGACAACAGCCGTAGACCTGTGAAGATCCCGGTTAGAATAGGTCTTCAGCAACTTATGCTTGCTGTAAGAGGCGTTGGGTAGTCAGGCTTGCTGACTTGGTTGATGCATGTCATCGAATCCCAATTACGTGGATCGATGCGCATGATGTCAATCACTGTATTGATGCTCATGATATTAATCACTGAATTGTCTGGTCCAGACTCGATTATTTACAGACAACCGTCATATAGCTGGAATATTGCTGAGTGCGGCGTTAAACAACAAACCAACCAACGGTTATTTACAGACTGCTGTCATATAGATAGAATGTTGCTGAGTGTGGCTTTAAACAACAAGCAAATAAACCCAGTGCAGCTGTTGCAGCCAAAGTAAGCTCATCGGGACTCCAGGTTAAAATGTGCATTGAGTGTCCTACGTGCGTGAAGCTGCTCGTTAAATCAGTCCTGGTTGGTCTGGTTAGTGTGTAAGTTAATTGATCATGTTCAAGCTGCCGTCATTTAGTAAATAAACGTTAATGCCAATCTGATTATCAGACGAAATGGATTCCATTTTGAGTAAATGGCAAAATAGTGGTGAAAATTATATGAGTGGGTCACTGAAAATCAGTGATTAAACCACGTATTCGCGAAAAGGGTAATCATGTCCTGCCCTTTTTGTTGCATCTGCAACACACTGACATGCTTAGCAGCAGTGCTTTAGCGTGTGCACGCCCCAGTCGCGTCAGCATGGATAGAAATTCGCACTAGCTGGCTAGTTCCACTAATTTTAATGTATCCCGACTAGAATTTCAGGCTTTTTTGGACTTGTCAACATGGTGCTAGTAAAATATCAGGTTAATTTCCACCTGATCAGAGTCTGCTTGTGGTTTGAACAGGTTTGGTTTTGTCCGCAGCATATTCGTGCATATGCGTCTCACCAAAGTGGTAAACGTCTGAGACATGCATCAACTGATGATTTCCTCTAAAATTAGGCTGGCAGACTATTTAAATAAAATACAAAGCCGCGAAAGCCTCAACTTGTTCACTCATTGAACATCAGGGGAAGGGGGAAGGAGATATTTTCATATGATAAAGAATGTTTCATAGACTGGTGTTATTGAAATATAGAGTAACTACCGATCAACTTACCTGTGGCTTGACGTATTTCAATCACAACGAGTCCTATCGACAATTTTACAGTGGAAAAATACGAATGAAAACGAAGTTCAAATTTCTTCCATTAAGGGAAGTATCAACGGACTATAGAAATATGCGCGTTGTGATGATAAAAAGTAATAAAGACTTCTTATAAATCTAATCCACTAAAAGCAAGTCAATTTGAGAAAGTTCTGTGCATCTTCGAAAATAACCAAATCAGATGGACGAAAAGCACCCATGGTACGTACCATCAGGTAAAGGTAATCGTGTCATTGTTATGCATGCTGGAGCTCGTACTCTGGGGCTTATTGATGGATGTGAGCTAATTTGAGGCGAAAAAGAAAACATTATCCAAGGAAATAAATGGTGATGTGTTCATAGACTCATTGGAGCATTAGCTACTGCACAATCTAAACAATTATTGTCATGGATAACACCAGTTATCATAACGCCCAAGAACCAGATATTGTCGCGCCAACCATGCAGGAATATCTGACATCTTGCAATGTCGACTTCATACCATGTGAAAAGAAAGTTCAACTAATGGAGAAATTCGACTGAAAATTGAAACTAGTCAAGTACAAGACATGTCGCGGCGCGGTCAGACATTGTGAGGTGAGGTGAGGTGAAATGGGGTTTAACGTCGCGTCCAAGATTATTGCACTTCCATAGCGACGTGCATGTACGTGTGTGTGTTTGTGTGGCTGCTTGTACTAGTCCGGACTGATGCCGATTTATAGTGCTAGCTCACTGAGATACCATGCCGCAGTTTAACATGAATACCCCACTCAGACACAGTATACTGACTCCGAGCCGCCAGACAGGGTAACAACAAGTACCATCTTTTAACGTCTTTTGGTATGACGCGGCCGGGGATCGAACCCGGACCTTCCGCTCTCCGGGCGGACGCTCTACCACAAGACCACGGAGGCGGTCTCAGACATTGTGAGCTCAACCTTACTGCGCCTATCTGGGCTAGCTTTAAAGGTCCGTGGGAAGACAAAACAAAACAAAACATTCAAATTTCAAAGGGTTGATCAACGCAGCCTTTGCTCAAATCACGCAAGAGGGATGGCAAAATGCTGAAGATCACGTTCTTGAAGTAGAACGTCAGTACCACCAACATGACTTCTTGATATCAGCCTAATTGCTCCAGTTATCACATCTTTTGTTGATAGTACAGTCTCAGACACGTCAGAAGCTGAGTCAGAAGCTGGCTAAAGGAGTCATCTTTCCAACAACAAATATTTTTTGATTAAAATAACCCAACCTTTCAATACCCATCCCGTTTAATGATTTTAACTATTCTATCATTTTTTTCAACCAAATATAATGCAGTACATATCTTTATTGCTACCCCCGTCAACGCACATCTCAATAAAGTACAATAACAGCAATATTTTGAGACCACTCTAAACTCAGGTGACATTTGCACCTGTGCACTGAGAATGTACGGACCGGTGTGAGGTCATCATCTCGGGACAGGTGTCAGGTAATTACCTCGGGCTATAGGCCGTGTCAACACACGCTTGACAACACACAAATATGTTCTAAGGTTATCATCATTGTACCTGTGAAAGTACCTTCTTGGGCTTATCACAGTGTCAGGATAAGCTAGATTAGGTAGATTTACGTTATTTTGATATATGCTGTTTTCATAGCCCTGTGATTCGTAATTATTAAATGAAGCCAGAAAAAAGCTTTTCCGTCAGTATTTTCAACTAAACTAAAGGCACTGCGCGCACTCAAACTCATACCCGAACTACAGGAAGCAAAGGCAGTCATCCAATCAGACTCGCTTAGTGCACTACACAAGACCAAATACAGTCAACAGGATTCAAAATAAAACTCGACCCCTGAAGATCCGGGGTAGAATAGGTCTTCCGCAACCCGTGCTTGCAGTAAAAGGCAACCATGCTTGTCGTAAGAGGTGTGTCACGACGTAAATTGTATTAAAAAGGTAAATTATAATACTTGCAGCAAATTGTAATAATTTTGACGTAAATTGTCATAATATTTTACGTAAATTGTAATACGCAAATTGTAATAAAAATTGACGTAAATTGTAATAATCTCTACTTGCGATAAATTCTTACGTAAATTGTAATAACCTTACTACCGTAGTGTCCAAGACGCCAATTGACTAGAAATGATCTTTGTCAGTTGAGCTTGCGTTTCACATGTACAATTCGAAAAATACTGTGTATGATGACAAACGTACAAAACTGTTAAGTTAGGGGTGATTGGTATAGGCTTTATTGTACAATCGTCATTAAAGGGTGGTGTCAACATCGATAAATTTAAATGACTGAAAGATCCATCCTCGGGTTCAAAATGAATGGTTACACAACCGTATATTCGACAAATAACTTAATTGTGACTTATTGTTCAATACTCTTATAAGGCTATTCAGAATGTTTTTTGCATGACTTGCTTCAACAGTACGTTGACCAGTTCGACACGACTGAACGAGTGATGACGAAGGGTACACACACTGGCTGGTCAACCAGTGTTTCGATTTGCAGTGGAAACGCTATACGAGTTGATGAGTACATGATCCTTTTCTTGAAACAAACGAGGGAATTTAATCATATTCATACAATTCATTTTATTTTGACGAAGAATTCAAATACAACAAATGAGTTGACAGATTCCGTGCATACACAAATAACATCCGGTATCTTCGGATAACTCTTGTACAGTTTCAAAGAGTATACGAATTATCATAAATGTCTTGCAATCAATTGCTGAAATATATCTGCTTGTATCAAATAGATAGGAATTGAAGATTTATAATTAAAAATATGTTTGTCACTAAAGTAAATTTTCTCTTTGATCTTCAAACGTCCTTGAAGATCATTAAACTCGACAATCGTTGGTGGATTGCGCCCAAAAACCTTGATACGAAATACAAACGTACAATAATCCCCTGAAAACATAACCTCCTCTGAAAGATTAAGAGGATTAAAGTAATTTGAGCTAACATCAAGCACTGTAATAACATACTCTCTTAAAATTCCAATGAAATGACTGGTGACTTACCAAAAAGTCAAATTATATTTTGCTCCAAATTTTCTTTCCTAGTTCTAATTGCCTACCCTTATCACTTTTTTTTCTGAAATTGAGTTAAAACTTCTAAATTTGAGACTGCAATATATGTCTTCAGAGGGTATTTCATACACTATGTAACAACTGTTTTATCCCATTTCAAATTTGGTTTCATGCTGAATCGCTCTTTTCAACTACTGCTAACACACTTTAAATGCAAGGAAAGCATCCCAAACATATATTTGTATATATAAATACATTGTGTTGATAACCACGTACTTAACCTACAGAAACCTACACTCCAGTGAGTTTATATATATATACAACAATGTTCGATATATCAAGTTTCAAAAAGTTCTCACACCCCACACTAAGTCATATTTAATGACGATTGTACGATAAATGCTGTACCAAACTTCCCTAAACAGTTTTGTACCTTTGTATATATATGTACTCCAACTGTGTGTGTGTATATATATATATAGAACTATATTCGTACCGAAAATTTATATATATCGAGCTATATTCGTACCCAAAAATTATATATATCGAACTATATTCGTACCCAAAAATTATATATATAATTTTCGGTACGAATATAGCTCGAGATACTTTTGTCATGCAGTGAGAAAACATGCATGTTTGACACACACAGTTATTATATTTGTGAACAGTAATCCT